TCCACATGCAAAACTGGAATACGACCCTCTTCATCACATTCTGTTAAAAAAATGTATACGTCCTCATCATCTACAATATATGTCTCTCTCCGAGCTTTAGATAGATTGTAACTCAGTTTCAGATTCCCAGGGACTCCATTCTGGCGAACCTTCGTAGTGATCTTATCTAATAGCACCGAATAAGTTATCTTCTCTAAACATGCCGTCTTAAACGATATAGCGTATAGTGAATTTTTATAAATCCACTCATTCCCTTCTGAATAGTATCCTCCATAGTCAAAATGTACGTTAGTATGACTCTTCTTCTTCATCGCCTCCTGAAATTACAACAATTTAAAACATAATTACAAACACAATTTGTCACAGTTATACTAGTTGTACCAGTTGGCCTATACAGTTGGACTATACTCTAACAGTTGTACCAGTTGACTATAGAGGGTACTATCCTGAAACTACAACAATCAAAAACAGCACATACACCATTTTCCACTGTTATACTAGTTGTACCGGTTGGCCTACATACTATCAGTTGTATCAGTTGGCCTACATACTATCAGTTGTACTAGTTAGCCTACATACTATCCGTTGTACCAGTTGACTATGGAGGGTACTATCTTCAAAATACAGCAACTAAAAACAGCACATACACCATTTGAAACAAATATTCTAGTTGTACCAGTTGAATAATTAAACATAGTTGTACCGTTGGCCTATCAGTTGTACCTGTTGGCCTACATACTATCAGTTGTACCTGTTGGCCTATAGTCTATCAGTTGTACCAGTTGAATACTTAAACGTAGTTGTACCCTGTTGAATAACTTTCTCTTAGCTGTACCAATTGACTGAGATCTGACTCGATTCTACTTAAAATGTGACTCCATTCAACAATGTACGAGTGTACCTCGATTCTAACATTCCCATTCGCCAATATACTATCAATTCTTCCAAAAAAACCCCAATTCTCATTCAAATCCCTAATTTTAAAGATTTCCAAAATACTCTTAAATTACCTAAAAATCTATCAATGCAACAATGAAAAGAGGATACATGAGAAGAAACTAACCGCTTTCGAGAAGGAGGACGCGACTGCAAAACCGTACGTGCAGATCGGCAGGAGCGAGCTATGGCGGAGGGAGAGAAAAATGTCGGGGTCGGAGAGGAGAGAGAGAGAGGAGAGAGAGTGGGACGAAATGAGATTTTTAGTTTTTCTTTTTTGATTTCTTCTTTATTTCATTAAGGCTAGTTTCGGAAATTCACATTCTCGGTGGCATGCCAGATTTTTGAGTGGCATGCCAGATTTTTTTTTTCCAAAAAGTGGCATAAGTGACAATTTTTCTATACTTTCATGGTTACTTTGTAGATTTGAACTAAAATTTTATAAATCTTTGAAATACTTGTATTTTGATAAATATAAATGCACAGATACAAAGTAATGGTATTTTTATGAGGCAATACCATCGGTTCCACCAACAAAAATTAAATTAAAATTGATAACAACTAGATTTATTAAAATCTCTATATTGTACAACTATAAGCAAAAATGTGCAACCGGGTACAACTGTACAACTATGAACAAATTTGAGCTATTATTTATTAAAAAATTTCAAAATAACGGCGCCAGGTATGCCATTTGTCAGATTTTTTTCAGAATAACGGCGCTAGGTATGCCAAAATTACAACTAGATTCACTATTATTTTTTTTTTCCAAAACCCTTACAAACCCACATATTTGTCAGATTTTTTTATTTATTTAGATTTTTTTTTTTTTTGGTTCAAAACCCTTAGATTATATTCAATAAATAGATTCATACATAAAAATATTAAGATTCAGATTAAAAGATTCATACATAATTAGATTCAGATTCATACCTAATCAAAATACATAAACCCAGAAACATAGTTGTATCTAATCGTACCAGTTGTACCTAAACACAGATTTATACATCAACATCACACACCAGCATACAAGCGATACTCATCATTAGAGACCAAAATAGGAGCCGAACTCTTCTCTTGCTCCATCTCCTTTGCCTGCTCTTGCTCCATCTTCTTCTTCTCATGCTCCTACTCCTTCTCCTTCTTCTTCTTCTCCTTTTCCTTCTCCTTCTCCTTCTCCTTCTTCTTTTCCTTCTTCGCCTTTTCTTCAGTACAAGGAGCCTTGACATGGATTGAAGGCTTTAGATTCATTTTCGGTGCCAAGTTACATTTCTTCTTAGCACAAGTATATATACAAAAATAGAGAGAAATTCAAATCGAAAATTGGGACAAAGTGAATTTTAGAAGAGTAGAGAGAGGGCAGAGATCAATGGCGCAATTAAATAATAATTCATAAGCCATGGTTTTCTTGAAAAAGAAATTAACAAAGTCAAAAGATGTAATGCTGCATAGTTTAAGCTATCAGAGGTATTCCAGTCACTGAAAAATGAAGACTTTGCTCTATAAATCTGTTCCATACACAGCTACAAAATCATATCTCTACTTAAGCAAAAGCAAAATCAATACTGATAGAAAATAAGTAATCTTTAAACAAGTCAAACTTAAATGTCATCCTTCTTCTTAGTATCGATCTAAACATGTACGAATCAAAACTAGTAAACTTTTAAAGGCAAATCCAAACTTAAAGCGAAACTATTGAATCCAAAGAAGAAGAGAAAGCTAAACCTTGGGATCGTTATGTTTCTTTTGATCAAGCTGAATCAGAATGTCGAAACACTCTGAGAACGGCTGCGTCTTCGGAGAGTGACGACGAATCTCTAGCAAATTGTTTTTTGGGTTTTGTGAATTGTGAAATACGAATGTTTTTCCAAGAACGCTAAATCGAAAACCCTATCAAAGTGAATTTTAGAGGAGTAGCGAGAGGCGAGAGATGGAAATGGCGGTTCGTCGTTTTGTTTTAGAGAAAAGGGGAAAATAATTTAGGGTTAGGGATTTGATTTTGGAATTTTCGATTTTGAGACTTTTGGTGTTAAATGATCCGAAATCCGACCCAACATATGTGGATCTAGATCCAAATTGAGGTTGGGTCAGTAAATAAATCGAAAACCCAAGTTTTATTTGTCTTTTACTATTTTTTAGAATTAAAATAATTAATTTAACTTAAGTTTTTTATTTCGGGGGCTAACTAGAGAATCATTTGAAGACAGGGGGCCGATGAGATTAAAATCCCCTAATTGTGTTGTCTATGTTTCTCGTCACATATATTTTGTCTAAGTTCAATTTTGGCTTTTCTCAGTAGCATATACAGACATCCTCAGATTCCCTTTTTTGGGCTTAAGACCTTCTTTTCCTACTAGTGTCTTTGCTTAGTGTGGAATAGAGCTGTGACTGGATTAAAACATTATCCCTTTTGACTTTCTCTTCCTGTTTAAGCTAATTTGCGTCCTTTTCTCTTTGCATCCTTAGTTTTGGCTCTAGGGTTCTTCAGCTCTTTGCTAGATCTAGAAAAGGTGAACGAGTTTCTGCAAAATTCATTCGGTTTAAGAGTTAAGTGGTGCGTTGAGGTACAGATCTAGTGGGTTTCAGGAATTTCGGTTTCAAGCTTGGTGGTTAGCGTGTGGTGTTTTGCTGCTGAAGAGTCATGTCGTCAGCCATGGATAGGGCGATGATGGCGATGTCTTTAGAAGAGGAAGAAGTCCCTCTCGAGATGCCGGATCTACCGGAGTACTCATCTTGTAAAGAAAACGAGCTAAGTCTGGTTGGAAGATTGTTAAATCCTGTTTGTCAATCTATGAAGAATTTGATTAGAAACATGCCAAGGAAGTGGCAAAAGGTTGGCAAGGTGAGAGGGGTAGCTCTCTCAAAGGAAAAGTTTCAATTTTTCTTCAACTGTGAATACGACCTCGTTGATGTGCTAGAAAAGGGTGTTCACACCTTTGATGAATGGACGGTGGTGGTCGATAGGTGGTATGAAGTTCCACCGGATAACTATTTGCAATTCACTCTTTTGTGGATACAAATCTGGAATCTGCCCATCAACTATTACACTCACAAAGCTATTACTTTGCTGGGAGATCAGATTGGGCAAGTACAAGAGGTAGTTTTTGACAAAGACAAACCTCAGATTGAAGAGTTTGTGAGAGTCAAGGTTCTATTTGATGTTTCACGACCTCTTAGAAGATCAAAGGTGGTTAATTTGCCAAAAGGTGGGACAGCGACTGTATTCTTTGAATACGAGAGGGTACAAAAGAGATGCTATGAGTGTCAGAGAATGACACATGAAAAAGATGTATGTCCCTTCCTCATTAAGAAGCGTCAAGATGCTGTGGAGGCTAAAAGAGCTGGCGGTCCTACTGCAATACCTAAAAGAACTCTTTTTCTCAAAGAATCAGATCCTCTTTTTGGTGTTTTAGGTGAGGATCAGGTAGGCATTGATCCTAATACCGGGCGTCCTCGTATAGCCCCTGTTGTGCTGGAAGGAATGAGGCAGTACCTTCGTGTTTCAAGTGAAGAAGAGAAACTTCTGAGGATTGATAAGGTAAAGCTATCAGTTGGAGAGGTAGAGAAAGACCCCCTGGCTCAGAAATCCATTCTAAGACTAGAACCGATGCCTATCTTTCATTCTGATGTTAATAAAGGCAAGGGTCATGTTTTCAATTATGAGCCGGTTTGCTCCTCTGGAAGTGATTGTGCAGATGCTGCTAAGGAGTCCCAGAGACAAGACAATCAAGTTATGGATGTAGCACCTTTGGAAGTTTTGGATAGAAGCTGGTTAGTTGAGCCAAGGAGCCATGAGATTGTGGATGAACCGGCTTCTTTTCTTGCCTTATCTCAACCTTTTCAAAACAATTCAACGGTGTTTAGTCCTAGTCTCTTTGAGGCTGGATCTTCCGGGATTGGGATGAAAAAGGTAAAGGCAAGGAAAAGACCATCCAAAATTAACAGACAGCCTAAGCCTTTGTCGCCAAATCTGGTCTCAGGTTTGAGGGAAAGTACTGATGGTTTGAAGAAAGGTGTGAAGTCAAAAAGGAAAGCAGATGATGGGAGTATAAGCACTGCAAAGTTGTCAAAGCTTAACTCTCAAGAGGTGATCCCAAAGGGGGGATTGCCTACCGCCCAATGAGCATCATCAGCTGGAATTGTCAAGGATTGGGACGGTCTCAAGACTTGGCAATTCCTCGTCTCAAGGAATTGCGTAAAAAACACTTCCCTGAGATTCTGTTCTTGATGGAAACAATGAATAAAAGAGATGTTCTAGTAGATTTACAAGTGTGGCTGGGTTATGAAAGGGTTTGGACTGTGGAACCAATTGGAAAGAGTGGAGGATTGGCTTTGTTCTGTAAGAAAAATGTTCAGATTGATGTCCTTCATATGGATAAAAACCTGATTGATTGTCAGGTTCAGTTTGGAGAAAAAAACTTCTTTCTCTCTTGTGTCTATGGTGAGCCGGATAGTTCAAAGAGAAGTGGAGTATGGGAGAGAATTTGCAGGTTGGGTATAAGTAGAAAAGATAGATGGTGCATGGTGGGAGATTTTAACGCAATCTTACACAATGGAGAAAAGATTGGAGGTCCAAGGAGAAGTGATTCATACTTTAAACCATTTTCTGAGGTGCTTTCAGTTTGTGATATGGTGGAACTTTCAAGTCAAGGCAACAAATACACATGGGCTGGCAGAAGAGGAGACCATTGGGTTCAGTGCAGACTTGATAGAGCTTTTGGAAATAAGGACTGGTATGAGTATTTCCCTGCCTCCAACCAATCTTTTTTGGACTTAAGAGGGTCTGACCATAGACCAGTGCTTCTAAGTCTTATTTCTTCACAGGATTCCTATAGAGGTCAATTTCGCTTTGATAGGAGATTCCTCTTCAAGCCTGAGGTAAAGATTGCTATTTTCAAGTCATGGAATTCTAGAGCTGCTTGTTCTAGCTTCACTGCTTCTGAGAGATTAAAAGCTTGCAGAAAGTCTTTGAGCTCCTGGAAAAAAAAAAACAATATGAATGCTCGTGATAAGATTCAGAAGTGTGAAATTGAGCTTGAGAAGACTCAATCAGAGGTATGGCCATGTCTACAAAAGATCTGTGTTTTAAAGAAAGAACTTGCTGTTGCTTATAGGGAAGAGGAGCAATATTGGCATCAAAAATCAAGGCAGAAGTGGCTTAGATGTGGTAATAGAAACTCTGGTTTTTTCCATGCCTCTGTGAATGATAACAGATCAAGAAAGAGAATTGACAAGTTAAAAGATCACAATGGCATCTTCCAGCGATCTGAAGCAGCAAAAGGGCAGGTTGCAGCTACTTATTTTCAGGATCTTTTCAAGTCTTCAAATCCGGCTAGCTTTAGTGACTGGTTTCAGGGTTTTCTCCCTAAAGTTTCTGAGGAAATGAATTTGGGGCTGACTGCTAAGGTTTCAGCTGAAGAGATAAAAGAGGCGGTTTTTTCTATTAAACCTGCTAGTGCACCGGGACCTGATGGAATGTCTGGACTCTTTTTCCAAAGGTATTGGTCTACTGTTGGAACTCAGGTGACGACTGAAGTCCAGAATTTCTTTGAGTTTGGGGTGATGCATGTTGAATGGAACTTTACACACCTTTGTCTGATTCCAAAAACTCACCATCCTGAAGAAATGGTTGACCTTAGGCCTATCAGTCTCTGCTCAGTTCTCTATAAGATCATATCCAAGGTTTTGGTTAAGAGACTCCAACCCTTATTACCTAATATTGTATCTGTGAATCAGTCGGCTTTTGTCTCTGAAAGACTGATCACAGATAATATTCTGGTTGCTCATGAGGTGATCCATGGCCTAAGAACTCATCCTGCCATTTCTTCTGAGTTCATGGCTATTAAATCTGACATGTCAAAAGCTTATGACAGACTAGAATGGAGCTTCTTAAGGGCTTTGCTCTCTGCCTTAGGTTTTCACCAGCGCTGGGTTGAGTGGGTGATGATTTGTGTGTCGTCTGTAACTTACTCGGTGTTGATAAATGACCAGCCTTTTGGTCTCATTACTCCTCAGAGAGGTTTGCGACAAGGGGATCCTTTATCTCCTTTCCTTTTTGTTCTATGCACAGAGGGACTGACTCATTTGATGAATAAAGCTCAACAGGAAGGAAAGATTGAAGGTATTAAATTCAGTGATGAGGGACCTGTGGTGCACCATTTACTCTTCGCTGATGACAGCCTATTCATGTGTAAGGCAGATAATGATCAGAGCAGGGTTTTGCAGCAGATTCTTTCAGTCTATGGTGATGCTACGGGTCAGTCTATCAACCTGAATAAATCCTCCATAACCTTTGGAGCAAAGGTAAACCATGTGGTTAAAATTGACATTCAGATCAGAATGGGAATATTCAAAGAGGGTGGTGCTGGTACGTATCTTGGCCTACCAGAATGCTTCAGTGGCTCAAAAATTGCTCTACTTGATTACATTAAAGACAGGCTGAAGGTAAAGTTGTCTGGTTGGTTTGCTAGGCATCTTTCTCAGGGTGGGAAAGAAGTCCTGTTGAAGTCGGTTGCATTGGCTATGCCTGTTTTTGCGATGTCTTGTTTTAAGTTACCAAAGACTTCCTGTAATAATTTGGCTGCTGCAATGGCAGATTTTTGGTGGAGCGCTGAAGAGCATTCTAGGAAAGTGCATTGGGTTAGCTGGGAGAAACTTTGCCTTCCAAAACATCTTGGAGGACTTGGTTTCAGAGATATCAAGAGATTCAACCAAGCTCTACTCGCCAAACAAGCTTGGAAAATTCTACAAGAACCTGATTATCTCCTGGCCAAGCTGATGAAAAGCAGGTATTTTCCTACAAAGGAATTTCTGAATGCTCCTGTGGATGGCAGACCCTCCTTTGCTTGGAGGAGTATTTTACATGGGAGAGAGTTGCTAGAAAAAGGGATATCAAAACACATTGGCAATGGATCTTCTGTTAAAGTCTGGATTGATCCTTGGATTGAGGATGAAGATGAAGGAATGAGAGCTCCTATGAGGAAAAACTATTTCTTTGATGTATGCCTAAAGGTGAATTCTCTCATTGACCCTATCTCTCGGACCTGGGATTTTGAGGCTCTTGGTGATCATTTCTTCGAGGAGGATATTGAAAGAATAAAGAAGATAAGACCAGTTACTTCCAGTGATGACTTTTACACTTGGAAGTATAATAAATCTGGGGATTTCTCTGTCAAGTCAGCATATTGGCTCTCTTCCAAAGATTCTGTTGATGAGGTAACTCTGAATGCCTCTGCTTTACCATCAACAAACGATTTGAAATGTCAGATTTGGGAGATCCCTACGGATCCAAAGCTTCAGGTTTTCTTGTGGAAGGTGTTATCGGGCTGTTTACCAGTGGCAATGGCTTTCATTGGCAGAGGAATGAGGAGGGATCCACTTTGCCAACTCTGTGGTTTGGAAGAGGAGACTTGTGGGCATGTCTTGTTTTCTTGTCCCTTTGCAAGACAAGTCTGGGCCATTTCTGATTATCCCTTTCCTTTGCAGGGTTTTGAAGGTGGTGAGATTTTCTCTAATTTTCATCATCTTTTAGTGAATAGGAAAAACAGAGCGTGGCCAGAGGAGGTTAGAAAGATCTTTCCTTGGATACTTTGGAGATTATGGACTAACAGAAATGCTTTGGCTTTTGAGGGTAAGTCTTTGTCAGCCCCTGAGTTGGTGCTCAAAAGCAGAGATGATTTTTTGGAATGGTGTGAGGCTCAAGTGGTGGAACCGGAGGAAGTTTTGGTTGGAGAGTTTTTTGAAGTGAATCAGGCCAGTCAGAGTAGTGGAGGGGAAAGGAAAGCGTGGCAGCCTCCTGCCCCTGATTGGCTTAAATGTAATGTTGGTTCTTCTTGGTCAAAAACTACTAAGTTGGCGGGTGCAGCTTGGGTGGTAAGAGATAATGAGGGTTTGGTTCTGATACATGGCAGAAGATCTTTTGTTAATGTCAAAGATGCTTTTGAGGCTGCCTTTTTGTCACTTCTGTGGGGGATTGAAAGTATGAAAGACCACAGATTTTATCGGGTTTTGTTTGCCTTTCAAGAGACGACTTTGGTTGGAATTGTGAATAGGCCTAAAGCTTGGCCTTCCTTTAGGTATCAGGCTCAAGAACTTCAAAGGCTTTTGGTGAGTGGTCTGGAATGGAAAATGGTTGTGGAAACGGCGGCTGCGAATAGAGGAGCTTCTCTCATCTCTCAAAGTGTCATCAACGATTTTAGGCTTCATAGTTATGTGGCCACATGATATCCATCCTGGCTTCTTGGTGTTTTTGAAGATGAGAGACCCTTGTCCTCTGTTTTTGTTTGAAGCTGTGTGTTTGCAAGTCTCGCTTTTTGGAAAAGCTAATTATTTTGTAAAGTCCTTTCACTTTGTGAAAGGTTCCTAGTGTAGCTTTTTGGCTTTGGTTTGGTTTCTATCACTTGTGGGTTGGGAGTGGTCGTCTTTTTGTATCGCCAATTGTAGTCCTGCTTCGCATTATATAAAATCAGATGTTCAAAAAAAAAAAAAAAATATTTTGTCTAAGTGTTTTATATCATTCACTAACCTAAACTTCTTCTCTCGTCTAAAGATACACCACCGCCGAACTCATTCGTTCCCTTTCTCATCACTTCTGTCCTCCATCCTCCGCCGTTTAAGGTCCAATTCCTCCTCCCTCTTCTCATCCTCTTCTTGTACTTCTCATCCTTTTGGGCTTAAAATTAAACTCTTCTCATGTCTCAGGTAAAGCTTCGCTGCAACACCCGACTTCCAGTCCTAGAACAACCGCCGGACCTCATTTGTCTACTTTCTCGTCTCCTCCGTTCTCCATCCTCCACCTCCTCCGCCATCTAAGGTCCAATTCCTCCTCCCTTTTCTCATTCTCTTCTTGTACTTCTCATCCTTTTGGGCTCAAAATTAAGCGCTTCTCATGTCTCAAAATTAAACTCTTTCAAAATTAATCACACACCAATCTTCCAGTCCTAGAATCATTGTTGGTCCTAAATCTGTTTTGAGTTCTAAATAATCACCATTAACCCTAGATTTGATGTATAGTCTCGTATATTTTTGGGGGTTTTGTTTGTATGTGTTTTAATTGATTAAATTAAGGTTTTATATGTTGTATTCTAAGCCCAAAATCATCACATGAACGATTTGTATATTTGTCTTCCTTACTCTCTATATATTTGCTAAGTATAAATGGTTGCTTCTAGGCTAAATTGGCTCATCTATAGACTGGTTTTTCATGATTTAAGTTGTAGTGTAGATTACTAAGTGCAAGCTTGGCTCAGTTATAGGAGTGTTATATTTTCATGATTACTAAGTTCAATTCTAATTGTTAGTCCATTTTTGTCATGTTTAAGTTGCAGCATTTATTTGCCTAGACTTGTAAACTGTTTTTTCTAGCATAAACTGGATTTTCCATGATTGTAGTCTTGAATTGTATGTGCTTTGATTAATTATCTTCTTTAACTCTAACCTTTTAACTCCTTCTGCAGATGACACAACAACAGACAAAGCTACGTCGGACAAACATGAGAGCAGAATCATCTCATCAACAGCCCGCTTTCAGCCACTCTTGCCCGAAATCTTGACACAGAAATGCGGCTATCAAGCTTGGAGACTACTCTTGCAGCAGTTAAGGATGATATGGCGATGCTCAAGAATGATGTGATGATGCTCAAGGATGACTTGCACAAGGTCGGCGATTGGGCAGCGGCAATGCAAGCTTCTCAAAATGTGATTCTAAGGAGTTTAGGTATTGATCCCCTAACTCACCAACCGATCAGACCCACCACAACTCCTGTCACGGTTAGTCACTCAGTCCCGTGTCCGTCTCCTCTACAACCTCATGACAATAACGAAGATTGATATGATTATGTTACTCATGTCCATGGCAACACAAAACTTATGCTTCTGTGCTACATCTCTTTATTTTGGTGTGTTGTGTATTAAGAACATGACTGATGTGTATTTCATTTTGTATTTTGTTATGTCGTTGACTAAGAACATGACTTGTGTCTTTTTGTAAACCAAAAATATTTAGATCATATGTATGTTTGATTAAAGTTTTAATTTGTTGTTGTTTATTTCCAAATTGAGGTTAAACTGATTTTTATTTTTAAATTGAGCTTAACAAAATAACCCACGGATAACCACAAAGAAATCAGTGGTTTGTTTAATTACCACGGAAAAGCCACGACAGTTTTGTGGCAAAAATAACCACGGAAAAGCCACGACGTGTTTGTGACTATTTACCCACAAGATATGTTGTGACTTTTTCGTGGTTAAATAGTCACGAATACTTTCGTGGTAATTCGTAGCTAACTTTGCCACGAGAAAATTCACAGCCACGACGCTATACCCAAGGATTTCGTCAGTGGCAATTCGTGGGTATGAAGGCTTATAGCCACGGATTCTAGGTTACAGCCACGATAATTGTCGTGGCTATGCCGTTTTTTTTAGTAGTGAATATTATAACTATAATTAATAATTATTTAACCATAGAGACAAATTAAGATGGTGTCTTAAAATTTAAACACAAACTTTGTCGATATGTGTTAATTGGATTTGTGTTAATCCATTTTCTCTACTTACGCTGATTATCACTTGGTAAGTTTTTCCTCTGCTCCATGTTTTATGGGTGTATGTTATTGAAAAGATTGAATCTTGTGTCATGGGATTGAGTCTAGATGTGAGTTATTTGCATGCCAATCAGAGCTATTTTACTGTTGAGATTTCATCGTCTCTCTTTCTCCAGGTTGGTAATATGATCGAAGCAGAATCAGATCCTCACAAGGTTTGGATGCCGTTGATTGTTGATTTTTATGCTACATGGTGTGGACCTTGTATTACAAATTCTCTATTTCATTTGGTTCATGTGTAGACTCTAGAATGCTTATATATTTCCAAAATTGGCTATTGGAACCGGTTGTTCTTGATATATTACATGAGTCTTGAAATGTGATGGGTTATGACAAGGTTTTCTTCAGGCCCGGTCTTTAAACTTTTGGTGCCTAAAGCATATTTGAAACTATTGTTAAATTTATTAAAAAAAACTGTAAAAGTAGGGATTCGAACTCAAAACATGATGCTAATTATCCGACTACCTAACCACCAGACTAAGGAAGATTCCTATTAATGTGGCCTTAAAAACTTTCTTATATTTTGTGGCCTAAAGCAAATGTTTTGCCTGCTTAAAAAAGATATCTTGTGGCATAGTTAGCATGTTTACATTTTCAATAGTTAGATTCTAAATTTAGAATTTAGTTTTGTGAGTGCATTATTTTGGTTTTAAGTTTAGTATGAAAAATCTGTTTGTCAATTTCTGTTTCTGTTTTTTTTTTTCCTTCTAAGTAACACATATAGTTATATGACTTATGAGAATGGTGCAAGTTACTGAAACTTACAGAAGATTATAATAAAACTGGCTTATATTAGAAAGTGTGTTGTATCATCTGACATGTAAAAAACAAAAAATTATATATTAGATAAATACAATCAATATGCACTTGGATAATCAATACAGTTGATGAAGAATGAATCCTAGAAAAATAGCACATAAAATGGCTTCACAACAGTTTCAACGAATACGATTTACATTAGAAAATGGTTGGGGAACTGCTTTTGGAGCAGCTTTTTTAGCATCCTCTGGTATTCCAAAAACATTCCAAAGCCTCAGAGTCTCGTCTCCTGCTGCTGAAGCTACAGTACAACCATCCGGACTCTGTGACATATATAGAACGCGTGATGTATGACCATTGAGCTCAGCCATTTTCACCATGGATGGGTACTTCCAAAGTGTAAGCTGGTTCTGAGTAAACCCATGTGAGCTAAGCAACTCTCTTTCCTTGTTGCTCCATATCAAAGAACAAACTTGTGAGCCAGTGTCTACCGAATTCAAGCAAGCTCCTGTTCGAGTATTCCAGAACTTTATCGTCCTATCTTCTCCACCACCACCAGTTGCAAGTAAACCTGATTGAAAAGGGCACCAAGCCAGAGCTTTAACCGCAGATGTGTGTTCCTGAAACCTATGCAAAGACCGCCCAGTAGAACAGTCCCATACGTTAACAACATTTTCATTGCCACCACTTGCTAAATGCTGTCCAGATTCTGACCACTTCAAACCACAAACCTCTAGAGTATGACCCCTGTAAGTTTTCACAACGTGTGATCTGACCCGTACATCGTTGTCTATGATCTTCCCATCCATACCTCCCGTTGTTAAGATATGACTGTTCCACGCCAATGATCCTACTCTTGACTGATGACCATCCTTCAACGTTCTCACTTTACGACTAGCTACAGAATCCCAAAGCTGTACTTCAGAGTTATCAAGCCCAACCGCAAGATTAAGACCATCTTGCGCCCAGTTAATACTTGTAACAGGTCCCATATCTTCATCAACAGTCACGAGCTCAGAAACAGAACCACTAGAAGCATCCCACAGATAGACAGAACGGCCCAATGCAATGGCTACAACATTAGCACTGCCCCAATCAAGCAAGTTAAGGTAAAAGTCATCCACAATATCAGGTGCATCCAACGCTCTCTCGCAATTCTGAGGGATGTATCTTCGCGGCTTTACGGATTTAGGTTGTTGGTAAAGAGAATAAACAGAGTGTTCTCTGGGAAGTAACTGGACCGGGGTTTGAGGTTTGTTCCTGAAGGCGAGAATCCGAGTCCGATTCAGATTCATTGTCTCAGCTAATTGCTTCCTGTAAGCTTCTCTTGATGGTGATGAACTTACCTTTGTTGCCTCGTCTTTCACGTTTCTTCCTTCGGTAAGCTGGAAGTGAGCATAGTCGAAATCCATGGCTGATCTGTTTGGTATAAATCTCTCAGGCTGTTGGAAATACATAAGTAAATCAATCAGTACAACAAATTCATTCAAAATCACAAAAAGAAATGATTTTTATGACAAAACTAAAATAAACAATTTTTATGACAAAAACCAAAAGAAACGATTTTTATGACAGAACCAACAATTCGAGAATCACCAATTGTATAAAACACTAAAATTGATGTTCTAAAAAGATTAAAAAAAAAAAAACGAAACCCTAATTGTTAAAAACAGAGCCCAAAAATCGAAACCCTAATTCATAAGCAAAAAAACACTTACGTTTTCTTTGGAAGTTTTCTTGGGGAGGAAGTTTCGTTGAAGTGGACATCGAGCTTGAGGTTTGAAGTGTGAAGAAGTGTTAATACCTGAATCCATTATACAAAAACACAGAGAAAAACGAAAACAAAAAGACGATAGCGATCTATATACATACGATAATACGAAACAGATTAGAAGATCCTGCAGAGAATGAATTAATAGACAAAGAGTAATTAAACAAATTAGTAGATTCGAGCGAGAGAGAGAGAGACGCGAAGAGTTGTTGTTTCGTGGCTAATGGATGCGAGAGGACACAACACAAGATTGAAATTGATGTGAAAGAGGTACTAACTTTAGGGTTATTTATAGAGTTATTTAATGGGCTGATAATGTTAATTGAAGCCCACGGCCCGTTCGATTTTTCTTTTTACCGACGACTTTGGTTACTGGGATTTTATGTCTGCCGGTTTAGTTTTCGGAGATTACCAATTCCACCGGTTCAGTTCCCGGAGAATTCAATTTCTATGGTTTGTAAAATGCTATTTCTGATATTCAATAAAATTTCTTTAGATGTATTACAAATATTCAAATATCACTAAATTCATTTTAAACCTCCACAAAAAATTTAGGAGGGGTTATTGGTTCATAGATTTATATGGAATTAGAAATCCAAACAAAAATCATTTGTTATTCAATCATTGATTTTAAAATCCTAATTAAATTCATGTGTTATTGGTTCTATGATTTATAAATACTAGTTAAAATCTTATGTTATTCGTTTAGTCATTTGTTTTTGGATTTGAGAATCCAAATTATGTTTTAAATGGAATTGAATGGAATTGAAAGAGAAAAATAGAAGGATTCAAATCTATGGGTAAACACATGTTATTTCAAAATCCATATATCTTGATTTCATAATTAATAGAAATTTTCAAATTCTATATGGATTTACAAATTAACAAACTAATAACACCCCCTAATTCATTTTTTTTGACTATAACTCTATAAGTTCGTCAATGAAATTAACAACAATAAGTCAATTTGTTTAGACAGAAAAATAAATTTTGTCAACGAAAATTTAGAGGATTTTTTATTTTTTCTCATTAACAATAGTGGAGGATCTTAAATTAGATATAGTGATACTTGTAAGTTTTCAATACAACTCTTTGATGTGATATTAATTTCTGACAGAAACAGATATAGTGATACATGTTTTCAATAGTATTTATCCAGCGAAAAAGAAAAAATAATAAATAAACTTATATAGATTGAAGTAGTTGGAAAATATTTGTAGAGAGTGATTGTAAATTTGGATTTATAGCTATCTAGACCTAAACTTGGGTTCCTGAAGAGACAATTTGTGCTATTTTTGGAGTAGTGTATCAAATCTCAAAACTTTGCAATTTTAATTAGCAAAGCAAATTCTAGATTTACATTTTTAACAAACAAAATGAAAGAATTACTAACAGTTTTTTATTCTCCTCTATGTGGACTTTTTTTTTTCTAAATTGGAAAGTTCCACTAGGCGGAAAATGATATTAGGCCCGCCAAAAATAGGCGGGATAAGATATAAATATGATTTTTTTAGGGAGACTCACAAAAATGCCCCTTTTTCAATACCCCTTTTCAAAAATGTCCCCTTTGGTTGTCCATTTTTAAAAATAGCCCTTTTTATGTACAAAATGACTAAATTACCCTTCTTTTAATAAAAGATATCACAAATATATAAGGAAATATAACAAAATTAGGTCCACAAAATACAAAATATTTTTTGGCGGGAAAAGTGATCCCGCAATTTTCCAGCCAAAACACTTGTAAAAACCTTTAAAATACCTTGTAAAATTTTCCCGTAAAATTTTTTTCCGCCAAAAAATTTTCCTGCCAAAAAATTGTTTTTGCGGAAAAAGTGATTCCGCAATTTTTTTGGCGGAAAAAATTTACAAGGTATTTTAAAGGTTTTTTACAGGGTATTTATAAGGTTTTACTATGTATTTTAAAAGGTTTTACAACGTATTTATAAGGTATTTATAAGATATTATAAGATTTTACAAGCTATTTTATAAGGTTTTACAAGTTATAAGATTTTACAAGTTTTTTATAAGGTTTTACAAGTTATAAATACCTTATAAAACCTTATAAGTACCTTGTAAAACCTTTTAAAATACATTGTAAAACCTTACAAAACACTTGTAAATACTCCGTAAAACCTTTAAAATACCTTGTAAATTTTTTCCGCCAAAAATTTTCCCGCCAAAAAAAATTTGCCAAAAAAATTGCGGAATCACTTTTCCCGCAAAAAATTTTTTTTGGCAGGAAAATTTTTTGGCGGGAAAAAGTTTTACGGGAAAATTTTACAAGATATTTTAAAGGTTTTTACAAGTGTTTTGACGGGAAAATTGCGGGATCACTTTTCCCGCCAAAAAATATTTTGTATTTTGTAGACCTAATTTTGTTTCAAATAAGGGTAAAATGGTCATTAAAAATTAAAAGAGGGTAAACTTAAAAATGGACTCTCAAAGGGGGCATTTTTGAAAAGGGGTATTGAAAAATGGGCATTTTTAACAATTTCTCATTTTTTTATTGATGATATTTGAATTTTGAATAGTAAACAGTATTTCACACATTTTTCTAATATTTAATTTAATATTTTTTGTTGTAACAAAATTTCAATCTTGCACATTATATTATGCTATACATTTTAATTATCTATTTCATCACAATAAACATGATTTTAATTCTACACACTTCATCTTGTTGATTATATTTGAATTCTAAATAGTAATCCATACACTTTTTCTATATACATTTTAATATTTTCTTAAACCAAATTTCAATCTTACCCATTCCATTTTGCAATACACTATAATTATATATATATATATATATATATATATATATATATATATATATATATTTCATCATAATAAACTGGATTTTAATTATACACACTTCATTCTAAATGGATGTGTGATAAAACAATTTTATATCAATATACTAAATATATTTATCAAATCTTTATCTTAGTTAATATTATTAGTTGCGGTTGATATATATATATATATATATATATGTATATATATATATTAACTAAATATATATATTATGAGTTTTTTTTTCCTGTAAAATATATATATCTTATTATCTGAAGTATGGTTTGCAAAGTTAGTAACTCATATGATCGCGCCACGTGTCAAGTCTATCGATAAAATTTTGACACGTGTCAAAAATATTTAAATTTTCTACTTTAAAATAGGAAAAATAAAAAAAGAAATATATTGACATATACTAATTTTATATGTGATTATCTAAAAAACTGCTTAATCAAAAAGGAAAACTAATTATTTTTAATGTTTGTTTTCCAATTTGTTTTGTGGATTTCTATTTTAAATTAATTATGTGTTGTTATATATGCTAGCGGTCGGTTGCGGTTGTTAGCGGTTGGTACCAATCATAGAAACCGCTCCGTATCGCTTCGTACCGCTCGAAATCGCTGAATTTCAAAAGCTCTTTCCCGCAAGCGTTTGGGATTGCGGGTGGTAGCGGTTGGATAAAAAAAAAATCAAATATTTACTTATAATTATTATAATATATAGGGAATATGCACCAAATAGCCAAATTTTTGAGGATAATTAACAAAATAGCCATATGCTACAGTAACTTGTCGGTATCATGTCGGAAAGCACATGTAATAACATATATGCACTTTATAACATGCTTTTTTCTCGAATTACATGTGATAGAACAATATATCTCTTTTTATCATATTATTTTCTCTTATTACACGTTATTTATAAAGAGCACATGGTATTTCTTGAAAAAAACATTCTATTTAGTTTAATATCTCTCTCTATCATGTTATTTTGTAGTAATACACGTTTTTTTTATTATGATCACATGTGATTTCTTTAAAAAAAGATTCTTATTTTCTAGTAATTCACGGTTTTTATTAATATCACATGTTATTTCTTTTAAAAAATATTCTATTCAAGTTTAATTTTTCCATAACAATGTTTTTTTTTAAAAACACTACGTAACAATGTTTTTTCTTAAAAATTCACTACGTTTTTTGAAATAGCATGTCTTTTATTTAAATATAACATGTGAAATTTAGATCTTACGTGCTATTTTGAAAAATCTCACAAAACAATCTCGCCTACTGTTGATCTCAAAACAAACGGAGGATGGTTTTGTTATTTCACATCCTCTGACAACGTGGGTCCATCGCTGTTTTCCGACAAAAACCTTTTTCTCTGCTAGTTTCCTAATTTATGTGTTTTATTTGGCTATTCCCTAATATTACCTTAATATATATTAATCCTATATATATCTTTCATCTTTGTATCACGTTCTCATCTGAAACCCTAATAATATTCTGAAACCCTATTCTCTCAATGTCTTCCACCCAAACTGATTAAAATCAATAACCAAACGTAAGTATCATATATCTTTTTATTCATTCATCACCTCACGTGTAACTTTTTGAATATTTTTCATGGCATCGTTTTTTTTCTTTTCATTACGTATTGCTTTGCTTTTTGATTGAATATATGTTTCGATTTGTTTTCTCGAATAGAAACTCACTTGCTTTTTGATTGAATTCAACGTTATTTACAGTTTGTCCCATTACTTGATGCAATTTTTGATGTTAAACCAGATGCATAGAGTACTATCTTGTTACAAAATTTCTTTATTTTTAAATAATTATTTAGTACTTTATTTATGGTTTTAATTATTAAGTATGTTCAATTTTTCTAATATTATCATAATAATATATTGCTGTTTTTATTTCTTTTTTTTGTAATATTTTTTATTTATTTTGGTCATTTTTTTATTTAACTGCTACCGCACCCGCTGGTTTACCAGTCATAAAACTCCAGCAAACGCACCCATTTTCAAACACTAAACCAGTCGTTCAAAACGCTTGATAACGTTTGAAGCCGCAACCGCCCGCTTCGGCAAACTCCCGCAACCGTAACCGCAACCGCTGCGTTTAAACCAGTCAGGCCCTTAGTCAAAAATTGTTAAACGACTAAAATTTGGTGCTAGAAGCTAAGCTCCATAGATGTTGGTACCGGATCCCGCAAGGGGTCCATTTTACATGTTGGGGAACCATCACTTTACAAATTCCAAGGAGCCCTATCTTGCAAAAGGGGGTGGTCAAACTTTGACATTAATTTGTGATTAAATTCATGAATTAATTGCCATTGTCAAAGGAATAAAGTTTGTCATTTAAGATTAGGAGTTAATTGCTAAAAATTGGAGTTATTTTGTGGAGTTAATTCTGAAATTAATGGCCAAGTAAAGACACCCTAGAAGGAAGGAAGAGGCTATAAAAGAGAAGTGAAGACTCCAAGAAATGGGACGGGTATTCTTCTACACAAGATT